CTAGGGTCTGGAACCAACTTCCAAGAGAAGCGGTGCTGGCTTCTACCCTGGGGGGCTTTAAGAGGAGGCTGAATGAACACCTTGCCGGGGTCATTTGACTCCAGTACTCTTTCCTGCCATGGCAGGGGGTTGGACTTGATGCTCTGCTCAGGTCCCTTCAAACCTTACTAACTATGAAACTATGAAAAATTGATTTCTTAGGCTTATTTTCAGTTGACTAGAAGGATGGGTTTCTTGGATTTGCAGTAGAGGTGATATCTTTTATTAAACCAACTAGATTTTTGCAACAACAAAAAAATTCTTTAATTGCTTTTTCCTGACTCATGGTTTCTTGGATGGGATTTTTATGAACTTGGGTCCAGGAGACAGGACATCATAATTGCTACAGGCAAGGGAAGCAATAGTGAGAATGACCAAGTGGCCTGGGCAGTACTGTATATATCTGTGTATGGGGTCACAACATAAATTGCCCAAGGCCATGTGGATATAGAAGCCGGTATAGAAGATCTGTGATGGTAGAGACATTTCTTCAGCTAATCACCTGGGGCCTCTGTTTTGGAACTAAAGATTTCTGAAGTCTTTTGTTGCATGTTAGGGTTGCCTGGTAGAGATGGCATTTATTCAACAACTTCAGCCTGCCTAGTCCTTTTGGATTTGCAAATCCCAAGCTATCAGATGGTATTGGATCCGGGCCCCGTTATGTATCAGCCTATAATTTCTGCTTCTTTTGTGCATGAAACCAGGGTCAATACACATTTACTCCTTGCTTCTGAAAAGAACTTTTGTGGTAAGCTCTCTTATTTCAAGCGGAGGCTTTATTACATGGAGCGGTTCATATGTGTGCTGCCTCCTCCCCTGGAACAGGAATGACTCTTTTGCACCCTACACTTCTGCCCATTGCTTTTGTAGCCTGTTTTTGGAGTTGATAAGCTGGAAATTAATTTGTCTTGCTTCTTTTAATTGCTCAGTTGTGTGATTTGTGCTTTTATAGCTACAGCCTGGATGGCCAACAGATAAAAGAGGAAATACAAGCAATGTCCTCTTTTTCTTTAAAGAAAAAGAGAATATTAGGGCACCAACGTAGGAAAATGCACAAGCCTCTTACATGGTCTCAAGTTACCTAAGCACTGAGCTTACCCTCTGGGGTATCAGCCATCTACTTGAAGAGCTGAAGAAGAAAAACTGGAATAAAAGTGAGAAATAAGTCAAAGATCAATGGACCATGACATTCATGAAGCTCATCCATCAGCAGCCATCAACCATCCTGATTCTGATCAATAGAATCAATTAATATAATTAATATAGATCAATTAATGGGATTTGGCTATTAAGCAAAAGTATGATGACCTCCTCATTAGATTTCAACATTTGGGTATGCCTCAATTTAGGCATTCAAGACTTTGCTGATATTTTCGATTTGTGTTGCTGTAGTGCTTTAAGGACTCAACAGGGCTTGGGGCCCCCCTGTGCTAGGCTATGTACACACACATTTAAAAAGATGCTTTCAGCCCCAGAAAACCCTGTCTGAACACTGTGCCCATCCTAATCTACGTAAGGCATTATCTATTCTTGTACAGGAGTCTCTCCCGAATGGTCTAATTAACCAGAATTCAAAAGTAGTTCTCTACAAAACCGCCTGGCTCCCTGAGTGCTACATTCCCTGCAAATTCAAAGTTTTCCATTCCTCTTTCTTTTAGCACCTAATAAGACTAGTACACCCACCCTCCAAAACAATCCCTTTTTATAAAAAAAATTGCTGTCTCTTCATTCAGCCTAGTGCCACCAAGAGAAACGATCTCCCGCTCTTAGACTTTACCATGGCATCTTTGCATTGAGAAATGAGTGAACTGCAGAATGAGCTGCCAAAGCTTAGGATTCATAGGTTGAAGACATGTTTTGGCTTCCCAGATAACACAGTATCTGAACCTATGCCAGACCAAAGTTACAAAATGTATAGACATTACCCACAAGAGCCAAGGCCGATGCTTTAAAATAACCTCAACGAGACTGGCAGAGCGAAGCCTATTTGTTCCAACAAAAATTATTCAGCTAAACACATTCGTGCTATGTGGTTTAGGAGACCATGCTTTAAAGTCCCAGGGGTCTCTCTCAAGTTTTGAAATGCGTTCTTCTTTCCTTTGGCTTCACTTGGGTCTCAATATGTCGTTTCCCTAGTGACTTGGCTGGAAAATGTGTGGTTGCTGGAGATGCTATTGGACTTCCTGGTGAAGGTGGGTCTCTTTTTCTTCTTTCTCCAGGGCAGGCACAGGAAAGTGAGGGTGGAGATGAAGATCTGGCGGAAGTTTGCTGACACCAAGTTGTAGAGGATGGGGTTGATGGCAGAACTGACGTAGAAGAGGACGTTTGTTAGCATGTAGAAGTAGTGGTAGAAGTTAAAAAGGAACCTGATGGAACAGAACAAGGACAGAGAGAGAATCTAAGTGTCACAGGGGAAATTTAAAGGATGCATGAAGAAAACACGAGCTGTTTCAACTGTTAGTCTCGCTATCTGGGAACAGGGCAACTGCCACATGAGACCTATGATACGATGCCGCATCCTCCTTCCTGCACAAAAAGAGATATAATAGGCAGACGAAGGATACTCGCCCTCCAACAAATTTCCCACCCTCATCCCTAAATAGTTAGAAGTGGGTTTAAGCCCTGAAATAGGAGGTTTGATATATTTAAGCTGTACATCTGTTTTGTAAAACAGACCTGCTGGAAATCAAAGAGCCTGCACTGGCATGTTGCCCTCTATAATGCAAATAGTGCCTCCGCTTTTACCAGCGGAGCTGGGTCTGCTTTGCAGTGCCCATAAAAACACAATGAGGCCTCATAATATATATTGTCATCTTTTCTCTTGAGCCAGTGAGAACCATATCTGTTTGTGCAATTGTTCTCTGGGGTGGAGTGCATTTCTATTTTATGATGAGCTCCATCGGCGATTGAGGACAACAGCTGGAATTTCCAGTGGACCGTGGCTTATAGCCAAGGCGACACAAAATTCACATGCTAAAATACAAGTCATATTGGTGATGCTGAATAAAAGGCTAGGATATGGCTGCAGCTTTGAGCAGCCAAGAACACACTTCCTAGGAGAAATGAATGCCTTCTGGACAGAGCGAGCTTATTACCAACTTATGGAGAAAATGTGAAGAACTGTGGGAGTAAGTCTCCTTCCAAGCAATTCCCATCTAAATGCTCTTGAAAATCAGTCAAATGATAGCTCTGGTCTAGTCAGTCCTCTGCTCAGTCAGATAACTGACTGTGGTTTGTCCCTAACGACACAGACTGAAGTTCTGACATGCCCAGAGGAAAATCTCCACCGGTCCTCTCCATTCACAAGTGATTCTGGAGGCGTTGATTCCAGGATGCCCAACCCAAGACATTTTAAAGGGGCATGTCTCAAGTTGGGGCATCTAAACACCCCGTATCTTGGATATATTTTGGTTCCTAACATCAGTACCCTGATAGGGTCATTCATTACCTTAAGTTTCCTTTGATAAATACCGTAAGTAGTCAAGAGTTCATAAATGATTATTTTAAAATGAAAGTTTGTCACAGGTTTACTGGCCAATAAGGTGTTTATAATTATGGCTTATTACAGTGGTGCTCAACCTTTCAGACCCGTGGGCTGTATGAGAGGTGTGGGGCCAGTCCATAGGCTGGATCTGACATGGGTGGGTGCATGGGGTTCAGTTTATGGAGTGACCCCACATGCCAGCCTAACCCTGTGAGCCAGATCCGGCCGTGCAGCAACCCCATGCATTGATCCAACCCCATGTACTGGCATGATGCAGCATTTGGGGCCATGTCATCTGCCTTGCAGGGCTCCCTACCAGTCTGGAAATTTGGCAGCGAGGGAGCAGTAGCAATGGTAATTGCCAGAGCGAACTTCTGAACCCAAGGGGGACCTGTGAGCCAGATGACAAAGCCTCACAGGTCAAATGTGGCCTGAGGGCTGGAGGTTGTGAGCCATAGCACCTGCAGTACCTGTGCGGTAGCCTGAAATTGGACATTTTAGCGTGCGTTTCCTAAAGGGCAAGAGCGTGCATGTGGGCAGTTTCCAGGGGGCAGCCTCCATGCAGTAAGCTCAAAAAATTAAATTTGCTAACTGCTGATCAAATTCTCTGCCCCTTTTGCCTAAGAAAATCTTGTTGTTGCATATTTGATAGCTACTTTAAGCACTTTTCTTCTAGAAATGCAAACAAGAAACAACAGCTTGCTCCATGTATGCCCGGAAGTTTATTTCCATGATTAAACGCAAGATCTGGATTTTACTATGGCCGGATGTACAATGTGATTCAACGGACTGCTCTGCTGCAAGTTACGATTACTTGTGCTTGATGCTCATGAAATTTTAATCATACTCTTAGCTTAGCTAGATTGTAACATGGTAGAAGGTTTTTGGTTGTTTTTTTTTTTATAGCTCCCTGCAGGAAACAGAGCACTTTGCAGAGAACAGAGAATGTAACATGGTGGGAGACCCACCTGAATAAAGGTCAGGCATTTCATTGTACACATCTCCTGCCAGCTTCAGCTCCCTCATACTAGACATATATTTGCAGGAAGTTTAGATGCTTATTTGCATATGCAAACTGCATACTCAATTATATCATTCTTTTACCATGGCCATGCAGAAAAGTCAGGCAGTTGCCAGAGCAGAGAGCCAGCAGGATGCATTTGCATGTGCTATTATGCTATTAATGTGAGCAATGGCAAGAAGTGTTCACACAAGCTAGTCATTCATTTGCAAATATAACTGCACCTAAGCTGTCTGAATACCCAGTCCCTGACTGCTGCCGGTGGACAATGATCCCTACACCTTAATTCTGGCTCTTTCACTGCCACGCTTAGCAAGCAAACTACCTCATGCTTTAATAACTGATGCCATCATTTTCTCAACAGTGTAATCTCTCCTGTCACCAGCAAAATTTAGCTTTGTAGAACTAATTGTGTGTTGACAACAGCTGTTCCATCTCATAGCTTCTGATCTATATCTATGTCAAGGAGACAACTATCAGCTTAAGGGAGGTAAAGAACAACAATACAACCTCAGATTTACCAGGGACTGTCAGAGGGGAAAATCAGTCACTCTACTGGTAACAAGTGCTAATTTTGTACTTGTCACTGCAGGAGATGATCAGATGCTAGTGATGAATTTAAATGCAAAATAATGTTTCCGTCACACACATCTTTGAGACCTGGCTGTTAAAAACCAAAGTAAAAGCAAGCTGAAAATCTATTTTGGAAAACATCTCATTTTGGAAAATTCACATTTTGGAAACATCTCATTTTGGAAAATTCACATTTTCCCAGACAAACTTAAGAGATGGATTTGGACGTCCTCATTGGTATAAAATACAGCTGTATCCCTTGAATGATCTTAGAAATCATAGAAAATGAGGGGTGGAAGGGACCCCAGGAGGTCACATCTAGTCCGACCCCCTGCTCCAAGCAGGACCAGCCCCAACTACATCATCCCAGCCAAGGCTTTGTCTAGCTGGGTCTTTAAAACCTCTAAGGATGGAGACTCCACCACCTCTCTGGGTAACCTCTCCCAGTGTTTTACTACCCTCCTGGTGAGCAAGTTTTTTCTAATATCTAACTTCAACTTCCCTTGCTGCACTTGAGACCATGGCTCCTTGTTCTGTTACCTTCATGACTTCAATGCTGCTGCTGGTGGAAATAAGATGACAATAATCTTGCCCATAAATAATAATTACTCACTCTGTCCAATGATCTGCAGGAACATAGCAAAACATGAGGCGCCGTATATGATATGGAAGCCAACAGACCACAAAGGCAATTACAACAGCACCTGCAAGATACAAGGATATCTGTTGATTGTACAGTGCGCCGTGTGTGATGTGCTTTTCTGGGAGCAGAAAACAAATCATTTTGTGCACATTAAACGCTGTATTACTTATTAAAAGCATAAGGACACTCCTATTTTGCCATTGCGCAAAGCATTAATAACGCCAGGGTTATCCTCTGTTTGTGGTAAAGCAGGAGTAATGGAAATAACAGAAAGGCTCTAGACTGGAGAGCCTGGGGGGAACATGTTGGAGGTAGATAAAGACAGGAATATTATGCAACAGGTCTTCAGAGGACTCCTTATATTACCTAGTTCAGATTCTGCTTGAGGAAAATCTGTGTCTGCCCTGAATTGGACAAGTATTTTAGCTAACAGGGATACTCAGCCTCAAAGAGTACCAAAGAAGTAAATGTAGCAGATTCATCATCCAGAGGCAGATGGAACAGGAATAATATTGCCTGAGTAGCCCACAGCACATACCTGCATGTAGCTATGTGTCAAGTATATAAAGCCATTGAATTACCCAGTGTTTGCAAGCAACAAATGATGATTTTAGTTGCAGGGACTGAGAATGTCTTGTTGTTCTGGGTTTGTACCGTGCCTGCTGTAAATGGGGCTGGTCCACAACTGGAACCCCAAGATAGTACCGGACTGCAAAGAGTTTTCTATCAGTGCTCATGTTTTAGCCCAAAGGGCACCGTTGTCAGCAGGAGTTTGCAATACTTCAGTTGTCAGACATGCTACTCTCTTTGTCAAACTAGAAATACTGCCAGGCCTCCTGGAAACCTAGCTGGGACCTGTCTCAGAGGAGCAGAGCAATCCACTTTGGGTGCTGATGCTTCCAGCTGTTACTGCAGTATGAATGGGGGTTTTATTGCAAATGCACACCTTGATCAGGGTGTAGGTTGGAGCCGTGTTGGTTTAAGGATATAGGCCGACAAGGTCCTTCTTCACTGAACCACTTGCTGGCATTCCTGACATTTGCTGCCATCGCTCCTCTCAGTCTGCTTGTGTGGTCTACCCATTCCTCCTAGTCTGCATCTGTACTTTCTAGTTGGACTGTAAGTCCTCTAGGGCAGAGACTACTTGCTAGTTTGTATTTCACAGATGTACAGAAGTTTAGAGCTGAAAGGGACCTCATGAGATCATTGGGTCCAGCCCCCCTGTACAACACCTAGTCACAATGGGACCCTATTCTGGGCTGTCATATTAAATGTGATTAATAATAATCAGGTGAGGAGGGAAAAAGGAAGTGGAGGATTTTAGCCAAGACACAGAAAAGAATGACAAATAAAGCACAACATTAATACACGGTGAATGATGAAAGCTCAGCTGGTGCCTGCTCCTGTCAGCCTGGATTTGAGAATGATCAGACAAAGGACAGCTATTTTTCTTACAATACATACTTCAACCCCGGTGTGAAGTGACACGCTTCTGGCCAAATTCCAGCAGGAAATAAATGAAACCTCACTCCAAACATAATACAATAAAGGCCATATGGGGAATCAAAGGTAAAGGAAACAGTTATGGTAGTTCTTCATCTGAACAGTGCTCTGCTGAGCGGGGTGGCTAGGCTCTTGTTGGACACGATGTGGGTTCATTTGGGCCTGAAAGACAGGAAAGATCTTTATTTCAATTCCCCTTTTGACTGCTGGCTCTTCACTCCCCTCTTCCCCAGTGGACTGGTGTGTGGAGGACAGTAGTTTATGGCTCATGCAGGGCTGCAGCAGCAGGCAGACTCTTCCTGGGGGATGCAGCGCTCGAGGGGGAATTCAAAAGCAGAATATAAAAGCAAACCCCAAGAGCTCCACCTCACCTCTATCCATACCAGAGAAAGCCTTCAATAACCCTCCCCAATGCACCTGTAGAGGGAGGGAGAAGTACTTGCATCTGCATTTTGAGGGGGAATAAAACCAGGCAAAGCATCTTACCCAAAGCTGTGCAGAAAGCAATGTCTGACCTGCTACTGGAAAGCAGGCCAGGGGGCCCAGCCCTGAGAACCAGCCCAGCTCTCCATCTCATTTTCTGTTACAGTATAATTACAAGATTCACCGGGGAGGCCAGAGGAGTGTATGCATTTAGCCAAAGTCCAGAGGATATGAAGACTTTACATAAAATTAACTGTTCCAAACAGGAGATTTTATCACACCTTCAACTCTCTTAGGAAATATGAACTTTCATTTCTACCCAGGAGAACTTCTACAATCTTTTCCCTGATACCTAAAGAAGGTTGTCTGGGCCCAAAAGCTTGCAATTAATGAAATTTTTCAGCAAAAATCTAGCTGGTCTAATAAAAACTATTGCCTCTACCACGAGTCTTGGAGACTTTTTAGGCATTCTGGAAAAGTCATTTATCTATCTACATGCCAGTAATTCACGTAAGTACCAATTCCCTGTCTCTGTTTCATGCTGTGCTGAGTGAAAGAAAAAAGGGTGAGGCATTTCCAGGAGCAAAGTGCAAATGCATCACCCTTCTTCTCCAGAGCTAGAGTTATGTCCTTCAGCTTTGCCTTTTCCTTTTTATAGGAAAATGCCCTAGTCATGTTAGTCATAGTCACTCATATTTCCCAGTCCTTTGAGTTGGTATCATCCTGCCAGCAGCATTTGTGCAGGACCAGCTCTATGGCGGGCTGCCCTCCTGAGCTCAGTAAGACAATTACAGACCATAGGTGCACCACTCATAACCTGAATCCTGAACATAAGAACTGGCATTTACTGGGTCAGACCCTAGGTCCATCTTGCCCAGTCTCCTGTGTCACAGTGGCGGAAAGCGGATGCTGAAAGGAAGAATGAATGGGTCTGACCAGGATTTTTCCCATTGTTCTTCTCTCACTTGCACCCTCCAGCATTGAAGGACTAGGAAGTTCTGATTCAGAGACTGTATCCCTAACTTCAGTGCTCAAGAGCTACCGATGCCCCTTTCCTCCATGAAAGCATCCAATCCCTTTTTGAATCTGGCCAAAGTGTCAGCTTGAATTACACACGGGGTGACAAAGAACTTCTCTTTGTTAGTTATCAACTTATTACCTACCCGCCTCGGTTTGTGACCCTAGCTCTGTGGCAGTGTCTCTAGCTTCTGCACACTTTAGGGGGGCAGATGGGAAATTCTCTGGCAAATGGTTTTTAGTGAATTAAATATGAAATGAAAAAAGGAACCTGCAATATATCCTCAGTGCTATTCGTCGCTGCATTCAGTCCAATTTATTGGAAGCCAGCCTCATATTTCTGGTTTTTACTGTGCACTGACACCAGTGTCCTTCAGGAAGAAGAGCCTTTGTAGGTAGGTAATGGTCTGTGAGCAGGTGGGGTTGGGCTTTGGGGCGTAAGCTGCCTCTTTGGATGGTTTGGCTATAGCAATCAACAGAGAAATGGTCAAAAAAGAGGATCATTAGAATCATTATCACGGAGCATCACATTGCACATCCCGTAGACATGAACGGGGGAGGTAAACTCTGTTCTCTGTAGGGTCAGCTGAACTGGGATTTTGTAATGAAAGTCACTGCAAGAGAGGCAAACATTTCAGCAGTATGTCGGTGGAGGACTCAAGGCCAGGTGTTATTCTTGGAAAACACTTTCAATCTCCAGAAATTGAAATACTGGGAAGTAAGCCACATGCTTTTTAGGTCCAAGAAGACCAATGGGCTAGTGTGATCACAGCACGGCAGCTTCTGTAGCAACAGCACCCAATGGAGTAAAGTATCTGGCATTAGTTTCACCCATCCAGGTCATACCCTGAGATCTGTCCTTACAAAGCCTGGCCTGTACAATATTGCAGGTGCATCCATTTAATCCGCCTTTGAATATTTGGCCCTGGAGCAAATGTTCAAACTGGCATCCACCAGATGTTTGCGTGTGTGCGCATCATCTTCAATGCAGACATCACACACACGTGCCCCTGTGAATTTCAGCCGTGAAGAGCGGAACATCGGTTTTAACAACGGTGACATCTCAGTTTCTTTTAAAAGCAGTTTTAATGCTTGGCCATGTGCTGGCATGAGACTTCTTGAACCATGCGAATCTTACACCTGGAAAGGACCAGCAGTTTCTGTGTGCATGCAATTCTGTGCCAAGATTTATGGAAGCAGGAGGGCCTATATGGCAAAATATGCATCCAAGTAAAAGAGCTGCTCAGTTTCCACAAGTGAATAATCAATTAATGCGCGATGGTAATTTCATAACATTACATGCAATCACTCTGCAATTAAAATGCGATTAGATACATAGCAAAGCATATTGGAGGCACTTAGGCTGTGATTTTAAATCCCAGCTGTGTAGTGCACTGTGCTGCATATCAGCAAAGATCCTCCACTGTGCTTTCGTCCTGTGTGGCTCTGTGCAGCTGCGATTAGGAGGCCCTGACCTGTATTTGTCACCCTTAATCCTTATGTTTCAATTTTATTATACAAAGGCTCAAGAAGATTTAAGGTGACAATCCTGTCCCCTCCATCCACTCTCTGACTTTCAATGGCAAACACAGGAAGATGTCATTTTTCATCTAAAGTGCCAGTAAAATGTTACCTCTCCAATTCTCTTCCAGGGAGCTGGTTCCCCTTCCTCATGTCTCACTGAGCTATGTGTTTGGTAGGGAAAGGAGCTTGGATATAACAGCAATGCCAGATGAAATAGATAGTGAAAATTACTTTTGGCTCAGGGGAGTGTCAGCCCCGTGGGCCTTCACTCTTGGGTCTCTTCTCAAGGAGGCAGAGAAGGTCTCTGTCATGGCATAATTCAGCCAAGAAGCTCCAACCATTAACTAAAGTTTTCAGAGAAGAATGAAGCAGTCGGGGGCCTTCATGCAATGTCACTTCAGACTTGCAAGTGCGATAGCAGCGCACAGGACAGGTGCAGAGCTATGAGGACTGATTTAATGAGCAAATGCCCTTCTCTACCTCAGGGCTGATTTCAAGCCCATTCACATGGATGAGCAGACGGAGAGACAGACAGGTAATGTAGACATATTGGGCACATCCAGATGAGCGTGCACACATGGTATGTGCATGCAC